CTATTTCTGTATTATTCTATCTTCTATTCTCTATTCTATTCTGTAGTCTCTTCTATGATTCTATTTCTATATTATTCTATCTTCTATTCTCTATTCTATTCTGTAGTCTCTTCTATGATTCTATTTCTATATTATCCTATCTTCTATTCTCTATTCTATTCTGTAGTCTCTTCTATGATTCTATTTCTATATTATCCTATCTTCTATTGTCTTCTCTATTCTCTTCTATGATTCTATTTCTATATTATCCTATCTTCTATTCTCTTCTCTATTCTCTTCTCTTCTCTTCTATGATTCTATTTCTATATTATCCTATCTTCTATTCCATTCTCTATTCTCTTCTGTATTCTCTCCTCTCCTCTTCTAACTAGTTGGACAGCAATTTCTCTAGAATGGTATCAGTTCTCCTGCTTGAGCAGAAGGTTGGACTAGATGACCTCCAAGGTCCCTTCCAACTCTCATTATTCCGACTATTCAGGAAGTGGTCACCCCACCACATTCAGCCCAGAGCAGTCTCTCCATGGTGGCTCTGTTTCTTGGAGAACAGAAACTTTTTTCTTCCACAAACTTTTTTCTTGGGCTGCGGGTTGGACTAGATGACCTCCAAGGCCCCTTCCAACTGTTATCTCGTTCTGTTCGGTGCCAAATTGGCGAGGCCGACCCTCTCAACTTTTACCTGTTCCCTCGGGGTGACGGAAGAGGGGCGAAAGCAATCCCCTGGGTCCCTTTTAGAGGTCTCGAAAGAGAAGACGGCATCTCCCTTCGGCAATAAACCTGCAATTCCCAAATTGCCATGTTGGCTTCTGTCGCTGTTTGATTCTTGCCAAGTTGCTGCAAAGAATCCAGGCCTCCCTCTTAGAATAATGAGAAAGGTTTGGGCTCCAAAGATGCACGCCTCTCCATCGGTGCTTCCAAGAAAGGGGACCTTATTTGCTTTCCCCACCCTGCCCCTCTCTTTGCCAAGGGTGCAAATGAAACGCCTCTAGTTCGATTCCAGCTCCTCTCAACCAACCCGGAAGTGTTCTTTGGGGAGACGTGTTTCAACAGGAGGAGGAGGAGGAGGAGGAGGGGACATTCTCAGCCAAAGTTGGCAAAAACTCTCCAGTGTGTTTTCTTGCCTTTGCTTGCCAAGCCAAACAAGGAGGAAGCGAATAAACAGGAGAACGTTTGTGTAGAAGGCAGCTTGCATGGGCTACGCTTCTCGCCCAGGGAGTTGAGATGGGGGTAAACGTCTCGCCTGGGGAGTTGACATGCGGGGAGCGGGGTGAGGGGGGGGTGTAAACACACCTCGGAGCAAAAACAAACTGCCTTCAGGTTAGTCCTCAAAAGAGATTGTGGTTAGCAGCTCCATGTTTTAAGAAGGATGGTCTCTCCCTCCCTCCCTCCCTCTCTGTGTGTCTGTCTCTCTCTCTTTGTGTGTCACTCTGTCTTTGTCTGTGTGTGTGTCTCTTTCTCTCTGTGTCTCTCTCTTTCTCTGTCTTTCTGTGTGTGTT